TATACATCTGACAGTAAATAAATGAATATTAATAATAATAATACTGTATTAATATGATGTTGAGCGCTGATCACCGCTGCTGTACAGGGTTTACAGGAGAGGAGCTCTACAACACTACTGGACACACTGCTGCATAATCTTACTATAACACACACTCCATTACAGAACTACACTCATGACACACTCTGTATGTGTGCTTATATAATATGTGTGTGTGTGTGTATATAATATATCCACTCAGCGGCCACTTTATTAGGTACACCTGACTAGTACCGGGTCGGACCCCTTACTCCTCCAGAACTGTCTGAATCCTTCATGTTGTAGATTCTTCAAGCTGCTGGAAATATTCCTCAGAGATTTTGCTCCATATTGTCATGATAGCATCACACAGTTGCTGCAGATTTGTCGGCTGCACATCCATGATGCCAATCTCCCGTTCCACCACATCCCAAAGCTGCTCTATTGGATTGAGCTCTGGTGACTGTGGAGGCCATTTGAGTACAGTGAACTCATCGTCATGTTCAGCAGTCTGAGATGATTGAGCTTTATGACATGCTGCGTTATCCTGCTGGAAGTAGCCATCAGAAGATGGAGACACTGTGCTCATAAAGGGATGGACATGGTCAGCAGCAATACTCAGGTAGGCTGTGGCGTTGATGCTCAATTGGTACTAATGGACCCAAAGAAAATCTCCCCCACACCATTACACCACCACCAGCAGCCTGAACCGCTGATACAAGGCAGGATGATCCATGCTTTCATGTTGTTGAGGCCAAATTCTGATGCTCGCTCTGAACTGCAGCAGATCCTCTTGATCATGTCTACATGCCTAAATGCAGTGAGCTGCTGCCCTGTGATTGGCTGATTAGACATTTGCGTTAACGAGCAGTTGGACAGGCGTACCTAATAAAGTGGCCTGTGTGTGTGTGTGTGTGAGTGTGTGTGTGTGTATAATATTTGTGTGTGTTCAGATATCGGCATTAATCTGACAGACCCGATGTTCAGAGGAGTCTACAGAGGAACTCAGAAACATGAAGGTAATGAAAACTCCTCGCTGCTGCTGCGTTTAATAAGCGTGTAGGAACAGTATTTTGGCACTTTGACTTGCAGCTGTACGACCACAGATTTACTACACACACCACGGTTTGACTTTCATCAGGGGTGTCTTGTGTGGTGGGACTCTATGTGTGTGTGTGTGTGTGTGTGTGTGTGTGCGCAGATGACTTTGCTGAGGTGGTGGAGCGTGCGCTGCAGGTCGGCGTTCAGAAGGTCAGCACTGATTATTAATGTCATCATCATCACATCATCATCATCATCTTCATCATAATGAGCAGAGACTGAAGCTTCTGTTTGACCACAGTTCATCATCACTGGAGGAAACCTGGAGGACAGCAGAGCAGCGCTGACACTCACACACACCAGAGGTACACACACACACACACACACACACATACACACTCACATGTTCAGCTGATCTGAGCGCTGTGTGTCGCAGATTTCGACCGTCTGGAGTTCTGTCCTAAAGAGACACAGCTCAGGTCAGTGTTTCAGACATGATGAATGATGGTGATGATGATGATGATGATGGTGTTCTTCATCTTCCTCACGTGTGTGTTTCTCTCTCAGATATTTCCAGCTTCAGTTTGATCTGGCGGAGGCGTCTGGATACCCATGTTCCTCCACTGCAGGAACGCTCACACAGAGTTCATCGGTACTGAAGCTCATGCAGAAGAGTGTGTCACGATGAGTGTGGTAATAAACTCACCGTGTGTGTGTGTGTGTGTGTGTGTGTGTGTGTGTGTGTGTGTGTGTGTGTGTGTGTGTGTGTGTGTGTGTGTGTGTGTGTCACAGACATCATGAGGAGGAACAGACAGCGGTGTGTTGGTGGAGTGGTGAGTGATGTGTTCCTCATTCTCAGTGCTTCATTATTCCTCTGTGTTTTCGCTGTTCCTCTGTTGTTTCCTCAATGTTCTTATTGTTTTTTAGTGAATCCTAATTTCTTTCATCCTAAAGGTTTTCTTGTGTTTCCTGGGTGTTTCCTTGTTATTTCCCCATACTGTTTTCCAGATTTTGCTCATTATTTTTTTCATTTTCTCCATGCTCCATCATTTGTTTCAGTGTTTCCTCAAGTTTTCCTGATTGTTTCCTCCTTATTTCCTCAATGTTTCCTCAATATTTCCTCATTATTTCTTCATTGTTTCCTCAGTGTTTCCTGATTGTTTCCTCCTTGTTTCCTCAGTGTTTCCTCAATGTTTTCTCAACGTTTCTTAAGTGTTTTCTTAATGTTTTCTTAATGTTTCCTCAATGACTTTCCAATGTTTCTTCATTGTTTCCTCATTGTTTCCTGATTATTTCATCCTTATCTTTTTATTGTTTCCTCAATATTTCCTCGTTGTTTCCTCCTTATTTCTTCATTGATTCCTCAGTGATTCCTCAGTGTTTTCTCAGTGTTTCCTCAATATTTCCTCTTTCGTTCCTCGTCGTTTCCTCTTTATTTCTTCAGTGTTTCCTCAATGTTTCCTCCAGTGTTTCTTGATTGTTTCCTCAGTATTTCCTCAGTGTTTTCTTGTTGTTTCCCCTGTATTTTTATTTTTTCCTTGTTGTTTCTTCACTGTTTTCTCAGTGTTTCCTTGCAGTTTCCTCAGTATGATCTCTTGTTTTTCTCTGTTTCCTTGCTGCTTCCTTACTATTTCCTCAGTATTCTCCTTAGTGTTTACTTATTGCTTCCTCATTGTTTCCTCTGTGATTTCCCAGTGTTTCCTTGTTGTTTCCTCAGTTGTCTTCAAGTTTTCCTGTTGTTTTCTAATTGTTTCCTCAGTGTTTGCCTATTGTTTGTTCAGTTTTTCCTCAGTGTTTCCACAGTATTTCCTCTAGTTTTCCTCAGTGTTTCCTTGGTATTTCCTCAGTGTTTGCTCAATGTTTTCTCAGTGATTTCCCAGTGTTTCCTCTTGTGTTTCAGGTGCACTCGTTCGACGGCTCTCAGCAGGACGCGGCGGCTCTTCTTGATCTGGATCTCTACATTGGTATTAACGGCTGGTGAGTGCAGCGTCTCTGAAGGATCTTCATCTCCGGGTTTGTTCATCACTGGCGGGTTTTCCTCCTGTGTTTCAGCTCCTTAAAGACAGCAGAGAATCTGGAGGTGATGAAGTCCATCCCGTCTGACAGACTGATGATCGAAACAGGTGCAGAGGCTCTCATTATTCGTTTATCTGCATCATTCCATGTGATATTCCAATATGTGCATAACATAAGTGTCTGGAGGCAGAGTGAGTGAGTGAGTGTGTGTGTGTGTGTGTTGATTTCCTCTGCAGACGCTCCGTGGTGCGGCATTAAAAACACTCACGCTGGAGCCAAACTGATCAAGACCAGCTTCCCCACCAAGAAGAAGTGGGAGACGGGACACTGTGTGAAGGACAGGAACGAGCCCTGCCACATCATGTGTGTGAGAGACAGAGAGTGTGTGTGTGTGTGTGTGTCCTGCTGAAGACTGTGTGTTTGTATGAGCAAGAATCCTGCTGAAGTGTTTGTGTTCATGCATGTTTAGCTGCACACTCAAATGCTTGTGTGTGTTGCGTGTGCGTGTGCGTGTGTGTGTGTGTGTGTGTGTGTTTCAGACAGGTGCTGGAGGTGATGGCCGCTGTCAGGGAGGAGGATCCACTGGATCTCGCTGAAACCATCTTCAACAACACCGACACACTGTTCTTCAAGAACCGCTCATGAGGAAACACTGGCTGTGTATCACACACACACACACACACACCAATAGACATATCTTCAGTAGGACTCTCCCATAACCCCACACACACACACACTCAATAAAAGAAAATATGACAACACACACATGTTCTGTCGTGGCTTATTATCATCATACACCCAAACTATGATGTGTTTATTAACAGAAAAGAAGATGAAGTATAAATAAAACTGAAATATTACATTCATTTGAAGTATTAATATTACTAATTGTAATTAATAAATGCATAACTAAAATTGAAGATAAAGGCACATATATTCTTCAAATAAAATAATGTAAATCGTATTAATATGAAAATAAAAACACATGCAATTTAAAGATGAAATATTCTATTAATGACACTGCACTACAGGCTATGTAGGCCCACTGCTTTATTATTAAACCAGTTAGTTAATATTCATGAGTTGCTCATTAACATAACTGGAACGGTCACGTTTAAAATAAAACATTACAGAAGAACAGATGATTCTACACTACAGAAGTTTGTATTAGGGTTATTAAGAGCATGAGGATTCATACGCAGCTATACTTTATATTAAAGCATTGTATTTTAAACTGAATTATATTAATTAAACACGTATGGAATAAAAGAAGTTTCTTGAATTGAAATATTTTAAAATAGTTTTTTGTCATTGTACAAACAATAATTACAAACACAAAGCACAATTTATCTGAACTACAAACTGAGACATTTTAACTCTTAAAGAAGCTTTGAATAATACTAAAGCCGGGCGCCGGTGCTGTAGTGTAGTATTCTGTAGTCTGCGCATGCGCTCTGCCACTTCCGCGTTCCTCACATAGCAACAGCAGCAGAGCCAAAATGGCGACCGGTGGAGATCCTGCCTGACATCGAACCGAGTCCTGACACCGAGAGCCGCGGTTCCCGGACACCGGCATCAGCGCCATGGCCTCCGCTCACGGGCGGCTGGGTCAGCACTTCCTTGCCGTGCTGGATGTGGTTCTGCGGGTCCCGAGCATCTTTATAATCGACGCCATATTGAACTCGTACTCTGATCCCGGTACCGGATGGAGCGGCGCCGCCGGGAGAGCCCTGATCCGCGCGCTGGGTGAGTGCGGGATTCCATACCGGTGTTAAATCTGCTCTTTTAGGCTTTCTGCTTATCAGCTTATAGCGCTGAAAACACCGGGCCTCAAAACACCACCGACTGACGGACTGACTGACAGCTCGAGCCGCGCGCGTGTTGAGGAAACGGAAACCTGACAGATTCATGCACTGCTGTAGAGCTGACCCTCCACTACACACACACACTCACAATTATATATACTATACACAACATATCAACAATGACACTGCTCATTCAGACAACACATACACAACATCCAAACTACATATCACAACTCAACACACACAGATGACCAGACATACACAGCATATAGACAACATAACAACACTGACACTGCTCAACACACTAACATACACAGATGACGAGAGGTGTACTAAAACATTCAGACAACATATAGACAACATATCAACACTATCAGAGCTCAACACACTAATACACAAAGACGAGAGATGATCTGAAATGTTCAGACAACTAGAGATGTACCGATTCCCCCGACTCACGATTCATAATACAATTTATTTACAAGATAATCTAAAGTAAATTTAAGGTGACGCGTCCTTCATTCTGTTCTTAAACGCAGACATTTTTTGCAAAACGATATATTTTCTGGCATAACTAAATTGCTATTAAAAACAGAATAATATAAACTACTGAAGACTAATAAACTACTAACCCTAATGCAAATACACCAGCTCACACAGTAGCTGATTGCTGACTAATTTCATTGGCTGACGCTGCTATGACGATCGCGTCAGACACTTCAGACACGCCCTCTGTCAAGGGTTGATGCTGAAGCCCATGTGAATCGAGCATATATGGTGCAGATTATGGATGCTGAATGATGTATTGTGCAGCTCTACTGTATCCGTGCTGATTCTCAGTGTTCTGCTGTCTGTCCTGCAGGTATTGTGGTGTCCGGTGTGGTTCTGGTGCTTTCCCAGAAGTCCCTGTTCAAGTTCTACACGCTCTTCATGGCTGTTCTGCTGGGCGCGGCGTCAGTGCTGGTCAACTACTACGCCACGGCACACGCCGACTTCTACAGCGCATACAACAGTGCTGCAGTGCTGCCGCGGGACGGGCCGACGCTCTGGCTAGCGTTAGCGCTGATGCAGCTGCTGCTGGGGTTGGGCTATGTGGCGCTGCTGCGCGTGCGGTCGGTGTGCGCTGCTCTCCTGCTGCTGGACATCATGGCGCCGCTGTGGGGGCTGATACTGGAGCTGCCGGCCGACATGAAGCAGGTGCTAGCGATAGCATCAGGAGTGATCTTAGCAACACACGCCGCGCTAAACCTGCTGCTGAAGCTGAAGTGGTTCTACTACTCCTGCCGCTACGTCTACCTGCTGCTGCGCCACATGTACCGCATCTACGGCCTGCAGCTGCTGCTGGAGGACACCTGGAAGCGCATCCGCTTCCCTGACATCCTGCGCGTGTTCTGGCTAACCCGCGTGACCGCGCAGGCCGTCATCCTGCTGTACGTGGTGCGCGTGGTGCGCTCTGAAAGCGGCATGCAGCTCGGATGGGACGTGTTGTGGGATTTGTCCAGTAATCTGATCATTAGCGGCTGCGACTCGACGCTAACTGTCCTCGGGATGAGCGCAGTCATATCATCTCTAGCGCATTACTTGGGTCTTAGCATCCTAGCGTTCATCGGCTCCACAGAGGAGGAGGATAAGCGGCTGGGGTTTGTTGCGCCCGTGCTGTTCTTCATCCTGGCGCTGCAGACGGGTCTAAGCGGCCTGGACCCCGAGGAGCGGCTGGTGCGGCTCAGCAGGAACATGTGCCTTCTGCTAACGGCGATTCTGCATTTCATCCACGGGATGACGGATCCGGTGCTCATGTCTCTCAGCGCGTCGCACGTGTCGTCAGTGCGCAGACATGTGCCGGTTCTGCTCGTGTCGCTAGTTCTGTTTACGCTGCCGGTCCTGCTCAGTTTCCTGCTGTGGCATCATTACGCGCTCAACACGTGGCTGTTCGCCGTCACGGCGTTCTGCATCGAGCTGTGTCTGAAGGTTCTGGTGTCGCTCACGGTATACGCGCTGTTCATGATGGACGGGTTCTACAATGTGCTGTGGGAGAAGCTGGACGATTACGTCTACTACGTGCGCTCTACTGGCAACGTGATTGAGTTCATATTCGGCGTGATCATGTTCGGAAACGGGGCGTACACGATGATGTTTGAGTCGGGGAGTAAGATCCGCGCGTGCATGATGTGCCTTCATGCGTATTTTAACATTTACCTGCAAGCCAAAAACGGCTGGAAAACGTTCATTAACCGGCGCACGGCTGTCAAGAAGATCAACTCTCTGCCGGAGGTGCGAGGCTCGCGGCTGCGGGACATCGAGGACGTCTGCGCCATCTGCTATCAGGAGTTCGGCTCGTCGGCGCGCATCACGCCCTGCAGCCATTACTTCCACGCGCTCTGCCTGCGCAAGTGGCTGTACATCCAGGACACGTGCCCCATGTGCCACCAGCGCGTCTACATCGAGGACGACACCAGCGAGCGCTCCACCTTCTCTAATAATAACGGATACGGGGCAGCAGGACAGGAGAGGGCGGAGTTTGAGGAGAATGAGGGTGGAGCTGAGGACGGCGTGGCTGCGGCAGGGGCGGAGCCTGAGAACGAGCTGCTGGAGGATAATGACAGTATTGAGTATGACGAGGAGGAGTGGGGAACGCAGCCCGGCGTCACGCTCATCGAGGAGGACTACATTAATGACGACACAGACTCCAACTGAACCAGCGGGGATATTTAAGATCAGGGACGTTGTGTATTTTTTAGATCTGTGGCCAGAAATTGTTCGAGAAATCCATTCTGCATTGATCCTGAGATTTTTGAATTGCGTCGCTTTTTTCGCTTGAATTAATTCTGAGCCTAGTTTACAACAGTAGATGGCGCTCTAGGCTAGTTTACAGCAGCAGATGGCACTCTAGGCTATTTTATAAAAGCAGATGGTGCTCTAGGCTGTTTTAAAACAGCAGATGGTGCTCTAGGCTGTTTTAAAACAGCAGATGGCGCTCTAGGCTGTTTTAAAACAGCAGATGGCGCTTTAGGCTAGTTTACAACAGTAGATGGTGCACTAGGCTATTTTATAAAAGCAGATGGTGCTCTAGGCTGTTTTAAAACAGCAGATGGCGCTGTAGGCTGTTTTAAAACAGCAGATGGCGCTCTAGGCTGTTTTAAAACAGCAGATGGCGCTCTAGGCTAGTTTACAACTGCAGATGGTGCTCTAGGCTAGTTTACAACAGCAGATGGTGCTCTAGGCTAGTTTACAACAGCAGATGGTGCTCTAGGCTAGTTTTAATAGAGCAGATGGAGCTCTAGGCTGTTTTAAAACAGCAGATGGCGCTCTAAGCTAGTTTACAACTGCAGATGCCGCTCTAGGCTAGTTTACAACAGCAGATGGTGCTCTAGGCTAGTTTTAATAGAGCAGATGGAGCTCTAGGCTAGTTTTGAACATCAGCAGGGTGCTGTCTGCAGTAAAAAACGAGCCTAGAGCATGTGTTACTTTTAAAAAAAACTAGCCTAGAGCGCGATCTGTTTATTAATACTAGCTTTGAGTGCCATCTGCTGTTAAACACTAGCCTACAACAGCATTAGCTGGTGTAATATAGCCTAAAACACCATAGAGCAGATGTTGCTCTAGGCTAGTTTCTAACAGCAGATGGTGCTCTAGGCTAGTTTCTAACAGCAGATGGCTCTCTAGGCTGTTTTTATTAGTGCACATGGCGCTCTAGGCTAGTTTTGAACATCAAATAAGACGGTACCTGCAGTTAAAAACTAGCCTAGAGCATGTTTTACTTTTTTAAAACACTTGCCTAGGGCGCTATCTGCTGTTAAAAACTAGCATAGAGTTCCATCTGCTGTTAAACACTAACCTACAACGCCATCTACTGGTGTAATATAGCCTAAAACACCATAGAGCAGGTGGCGCTCTAGGCTAGTTTCTAACAGCAGATGGCGCTCTAGACTAGTTTTTACCAGCAGCAGATGGCGCTCTAGGCTAGATTCTAACAGCAGGTAGCGTTCTAGGCTAGATTCTAACAGCAGATGGCACTCTAGACTAGTTTTTTACCAGCAGCAGATGGCGCTCTAGGCTAGTTTCTACCAGCAGATGGCGCTCTAGGCTAGTTTCTAACAGCAGATGGCGCCCTAAGCTTGCTTTTAACATCAAGTGGGGCGTTATCTGCTGTTAAAAACTAGCCTAGAGCACCATTTGCTATTAAACACTAGCCTGCAACGCCATCTACAAGTGTAATATAGCCTTAAACACCATCTGGTGTTAAACACTAGCCTAGAGCGCCATCTGCTGTTTAAACTTAGCCTAGAGTCCTTATGCAATTAAAAACTAGCCTAGAGCGCCATCTGCTGTTAAAAGACTAGCCTAGAGCATCAACCCCTAGTAAAAACAAGCCTAAAGCGCCATCTGCTGGTAAAAACTAGCCTCGCAATCCTGAATAGTAATGTATTTTGAGAGGCTCCATGTCAATACAGAATCGTTTTCTCCAATGATTTCTCGACCACAGTTCTAGTATTTTCGTTGTGTTCGTATTAAAAGGGCTGATCATGTGTTTTTCCTGGAGCGCTCTTGCCGATGTTTGGCTGAAGGAGTGAACGCTGAAGAGTGACGCGCTACTGTAATGGCAGTATACCTCCGTATGATCACTACTGGTCTCTTGTGTGACCTCTCGTATAATTGTGTACATTATTGTACATGTAATAAAAGAATGATACACTGACGTAAGACTGCAGAAAGCTGAATCAGCTGTTCATCTCAGCTCCGCCGCTCTCTTCTCACACGCTGTTGCTTTCTGAACACAACTTACAATGCAAATAACAACACATTTCACCATAAACAGAGTACAGCGGTTGGCTTTTCTGATTAAATTCACGATTAAAATGTTTGATTTCAGGTTTAAATGTTGATTTGCCAAGAGGACTGATGTACAGCAATGATCAGCTTTAGTTCTTTTGTAAATAAAAGTTAATTGAGCTGAAGTTCAAGAGGAATCTGGAACTTTGCACTTGATTATATTTTTTTGAATGCTCCTGTTTGTGTTTGTTTTCTCTCAGGTTTTATTTTAATTGATTATATATATATATAACATTTGTTTTAACATTTCAGTTAAATTTAGTATTTAATCTAAATAATGATATTAAAGAAAAAAATATGCCGTCATATTTGACATATTATAAAACTCTATTTAAAGGTCACAGTTTGACTGAAAATACTCATTATTAATTATTAGTATGATTCAAATCAGTAGCATTTACACACCATCATAAAGTCAAACATAATCACGTTTAATTGATTCTGTGACATATTTTAATAGGCAGAGTTCAGAATATGTGTGTGGTTTAATTTTATCCTATACCTTCGTTAAATGAAGGACAAAGATCATCAATCTGCCCATATTTTGACATTTATTTATAACTAAATTTATTTAAAACATTAAAGCTGTCAAGTTATTAAAGGATTTAATAGATGTTATGTGTATATAAATCAATTTTGCACATTTAATATGATTGACACCATTAATGTGATGTCTTTTCTTTGACCCATAGAGTTTTATTTCTTTAATTAATGTTAAATAATGTGCACTTTCATTCAAATGTATTAAAAATGTATTATTTATATTTAAAAAATCATACATTTATTATCAGTTATACTTTATAATGAGTAAAAGGTGCACAAATTAGCTTGTAAAACATGAATGAATGTAAAGATAAATGCAGTATAAACACTATGTAGTGAATGAGGTTATATTTGATGTCTGACCTATGAATTTTAATATTTAAACTATTAATCTTTGTGTATTTTATTTTAATGGTTCATTTCTCCAAATTAGTAACAGTTTTATCCCACTTTTTGAACTAAAGTACAATTTAAGACAGAATATGTTGTGAAAATGTTGTATTGTGCATTAATAGTTACCTATATTATTTTAGTCTATGATATTTAGTCGTAATAAATATATCGTTTTCTGTTTAAAATATATGTTTAATATAATCTTCAGTTGATTTGTTGTATATCCGCGCTCATTTCATCATAGGAAACTAGAGAAGGTGAATCTGAGCTTCAACTTTGACCTTTAGGTGTTGTTTTTCTGCTCATCAGCAAGACTAAACTACATTTCCCATAGCGCTTCCGTCTCTCGGAACTACACTTCCCATCATGCAACAGCAGCGCGATCTTGAGCGTCAGAGGAGCCCGTGGAAAGTCAGTCAGTCAGTCATATAAATGAATCATAATAACGCTGGAATAAGCGCATAACGGCCGCGTGTTTTACTGTAAATAGTAACGGCAAATGGACGCGGTTTGCTGAGGCGCGTCTGGTGTGAGTGTGTGACGGTAACGGTGTTGTGAGGCGCGGGTTGGGTCGCTCGGTGAGGCCGGTGTGTGTGTGTGAATGACGGGAGTGTCTGTGATCATGATCTAACGTTAGAATAGTCGGTGTTTTTCTCTGCTCGTGTGTGTTTCTCGCGCTCTGATGATCCGCTCGGTGTTGCTGCGCGCGCTCGCGGCTCGCCCGCCGTCCGCTCCGGTTCCCGGTCACCTGCACAGATGTTTGCTCGGGACTCACCGGCGGAAAATTAAACCCGAACAGCTGGAGTTACCGAACCAGACGCGGGAGTTCGTGTACAGCCTGAGCCCGGAGACCCGGAGCCGCCTCCTGAAGGAGCTGCAGACCTTCGAGTCCAAGACGGAAGGTAAATTAACGGGCATAGATTACTATGGTAAAGCCCTGAAGTGATGTAAAGTTAGGATTATATAACAAAGTGACGACTTGTGACACGCTACCCATATTGTTCACCATGCTAACGTTACTCTGAATATTGGGATGATGTGAATTAGCACGCAAGTATGACTTTAAAACAGCTTTAGCACTATTTAAAGTCCACATGAAATCAAAACTAACCATTATGGATTCTGTTAGCTCACACTGCCAACAACTCATCTGTGCAGGTCATTAAGAAAAACAAAATAGTTTGCCCTTCTAATCTTTAATTGAAGTCTGAACATGCTCTTCTGTTTGTTTTATGTTAAATTCTCAGAATACCTCTGTATTGGGCGTGGTTAACATACTTAACCACGCCCCTTAAACTGTCAACAATCAGAAATGGTGAAGAGGAGGAGGAGTCTGTTAGGTTGGAATAGCTCTTAACCCTTTTCCCCATATTTCTAAATAAAAGGCCTGCTTTATTACATCCAATCAGCTTGCAGTACAAAAAACAAACCACGCCCACTGTTGTCTTATTCAATATTCTATTTGTCAAACTGTGCTTCAATACAAAAATAAAAACAAACAGTTGCAGCATCCGGACTTTAAAGTTCCCGCGAAGTGTTTTTGCAATTTTTAGTTACTGTTTGACATAATCTCAACTGAAATATAAATATAATAGCCCCTCCCCTTTTTTCAACAGCGAAAAGCATCAAAGTCCCTCTAAGGCAAGTCATTTCACTTGGCGGCCATTTTTGAAATGCCTCTCGGCAAGGATTGCTTGCGCATTCTGTTTGAATGGTTTGAATCATATCCAAAACTACTAGCCAAGCTTACGATTACCTTTCATTTTACGAGTTAAACAACAACTGTCTCTCTAGTTTCATTTCTAAATGTTCGTATCATACAAAATCTACAGAAACTCACGTCTGGTCCAAGCCCCTCCCCCAGAGAATTTTCACTCTATTGCGATCGCTGATTGGCTCCTGTACTAGAAGGCGGGCTTTATTTGCCATATAGTGATTGCTGATTGGCTCCTGTACTAGAGGGCGGGGCTTCACTCGCCATATTGACAGTTACACTTGTACTCATTCAGTAAATGACCTGTCTTGTGTATTCTATAGTCTTTGATCCAACGGACATTAAAGCTCCCGTGAAATGTTCCTGCATTTTTTCATTCAATGTCTGACGTAATCTCAACCAAAATATGAAGGCCCCTCCCCTTTTTATCACAGCTCTTAGCGAGAATGGTTGAGATCAAGCACACCAAATGAAAAGCCAATCAGAAGAAGGGATGAGGCATGAAAGGCTACTAGAGAGCATTTGATTGGTCAGAAGATTTGATGTATGAGGAGACCCGAAAAAAAAGCTTGATCCATTTAGGTGGAAGAGACAAACTGTAAACTGTAGATGTTTATATCAGGTTTATATCTGCTACATGAGAATTTTGTCTGTTGTGTAGACACTAGATTATAGAGATCCTAACATCCAAACATTTTATTTTACGTTCATGGGACCTTTAACGTTTGACTGATCAGTGGTGTATTTTAATAATCGTTGTCTGCTAATGTGATTTCTCTATATAGAATACTTGTGTTTTGAAGGAGAAAGTCAGAATGTGTGATTTTAAACCAACTTTAAACCCTGAGTGTGTATGAGCACAGTGAGAGTTCAGTATCTCACAGCAGCCTGAGGTGTCCTAACCCAAACTTAACCAGACTTGTTGACCAGATAACCACCCGCTGGCTTAACCATTCACCATCTGATGCCAGCAGTACATGTGTATGTGGTGTCAGTGCTGAGTTTGGCTAAAGGTGTGCTCTGGGGCTGCACAATATATGGTTCAGGGTTCATACTGGAGCTTTGACATGGCATTTTCCAGGCCTGGAAAAGTTTTGGAAAAACAGAAAAACCCACAAAGTTTTGGAAAATTCATGGAATTTTAGTAGTAAAAATGTGTATGAACCCTGCTGGATGGATATCACAGTCACATCACAGGATCTGCAGTGTTGAGTCTGGATTATAGTTGATCATCTGCGTGTGTTTTTGAGGATTTTAAAAACACTCCAGCATGAGAAATTGTACTGTTTGTAACCTTAATAATGATTCATTTTATTTCTGAAATGAGGATAATGTATTTTACACTTGATTATCAAATCACCCAAAGCATTCTGCTGTGTTGTGTTCTGATGTGGTGTTTGTCTGTTGTAGCTGTGAAATATCTCTAATCATTCAGCGGAGTGATATGGATCTGTAATGCACTGTAAACCTGCCGGAACTACTTTAGCTGTGCCTGACTATAACCAAACACCTGAGAATTAATCCACAATTAATCCAAAAAAGATGGCGATCTCGATTCGACCCCCTAGACGATCTTAATCCAGCATTTCTACAATTCTGCCAATCATATTTTCAAGTTCAGGAGAGAAGCAAAGGCGGCCGCACGAGTCTTTTCAGTGTTTTACATACATTGCTCAGCGACTTGGACACCTCCAAATGATGTAAAAGTGTCACATACTGTATTTATAAGGTATAATTCACCTATAAGTGTCATTTCTGTCTTAATATAATGCTGTGTTTGGGAAATCACGTGACGTGAGCTGCTATCACAGAGAGTCTAATGATAGACGCGCACACATTACTTTAGTGAACAGAACCTGCATATGTTGTGAGTAACAGGTAATACAGATGTCAATAATCTTGAGTTTGTGTGAGTTTGAGAGCCGCGTGTGATGTATGAACAGCACTTAGCAATAAAAATGAAACCAAAAGTGTGCAGATCATTTAAATGATCTTATAGCATTATAGAGTTATGACTGCGACAAACATCTGATATTGATTTTCTTTCATAGCGAACACACAGCTGTGCATGAGAATAAATGTTTACACTGTCAGTATAACCACTCTAGCCTATATAATGTTGACTTTAGCAGTGAATTAAAGGATCTAATAATGTTCTCAATGACTGCAAGCATACCTCAAACACAATTCAACATCAGAATAGTATAAGTAGAATAGAATTATTTAAAGAAACCAGTAGACCTGCACATATTATTATTATTGTTGTTTTACCATGTGTTTGAGAAAAACAATAATAATATCCAACTCATATTAACCTTTATTTTACATCTTTATTTAAGCAAAACAATCTCCATTCTCATTTTAGCCAGAATCCTGCAGCTCTGCTGAGAATGACCATCAGCCAATCAGAATCCAGCGTTTAGCAGAGCTGTAGTGTAAAAGCAGTAGACAGACAGTACTGCTGATGATTATACTGTGCTCAGTGTGGAGCCGTGTCAGAGTTCAGCTTGAACATGTTTGGACTCTGTCCTTCAGCATGTAAAGGTCAGCGGAGAAGAGAGAATAGAAATATTCAGCTTGCTGAGATAAATCATGGAGAACACGGACACTGTTCCTGTCTCATCCTGCACACAATATTAATAACGTTTTTTAAATAAACCGTGGCTCAGTTGTGTTGCACTGTCGCCTCACAGCAAGAAGGTCTCTGGTTTGAGTCTCGGCTGGGTCAGTTGGTGTTTCTGTGTGGAGTTTGCATGTTCTCCCCGTGTTGGTGTGGGTTTCCTCCGGGTGCTCCGGTTTCCCCCACAGTCCAAACACATGCGCTATAGGGGAACTGATCAACTAAACTGGGCGTAGTTTATGAGTGTGTGGGTGTTTCCCAGTACTGGGTTGCAGCTGGAAGGGCATCTGCTGTGTAAAACATCTGTTGGGATAGTTGGTGGTTCATTCCGCTGTGGTGACCCCTGATAAATAAGTCACTAAGCTGAAGGAAAATGAATAAATGACTATATTTGAATAATAATGCTCATGGTGGATTTGTGTGACCTGATTTACCAGATGATAAACTGATTATTTATAAATGCACATTTTGGCTGAATTCATCTTTCACATTCTGTTATAACAGCATGAAGAGTTCAGATGCAAAATCCTCTTAGTGCCATATGAAGTTTTCTTCTAAAATAATTTTTTTTGAGACTGCTATATTTATGTTCACTAATTTGCATTAAAAATAACGAAACTAACTAATATTATTGAAATAAAAAGAAAATTACTCCACTTACACATAGTAGCCTGAGAAAAATACTAATGTTAGGATAAAAATACAGAAGTTTTTGCATCTGAACTCTTCATATATTAATCCACCACTGCATGTGTGTGTGTGTGTGTATGTTGAGTGATGATGAGCATCAGCTGATGTTCCTCAGGCGCTGGTTGATGATGTCATGTGACTGGTGTGACCTCTGAGAAACTGCAGATTCAGGAGAAAACACACAGACCTGATCAAATCCCTGAGCTGAAGCTCATCTGAACAGGGCAGAGGAAAACAAGAGTACACTGACGTGATATTTAGTGTTTAATTAAAGCTCTAATGAGAGTTTTGCAGATTAGGAAAGAATTCACTCGCAGAGTCTCGCTGTGTTCGCATGAGTTATGTCAAATATTAAGCTGATATTATAGTTCATATTCTTGTGTATTTTAAAGCACTTTTTTTGTAAATGTAATTTGATGCAGACCCAAAGTGGGATGCCTTTGACACACACACACACACACACACTCACACACACGCTCAGGTTTCCTCCTCATGTGCTGGTTGTGTGTCCTGCAGTGTTTATGTTTGTGTGTTCGTGAAGCTGCTGTTGCTATGGTGCTTGTGGTGATGCAAGTCATGTGATTACTTTCACAAGTATGCTGTGTGTGCATTTCTCCAAGTGTGTGTGTAGGGTGTACACATATATGTGTGTGTGCAAGGGTATATATAAATATGCGTGTGTGCATGGGTGTTTCCATGAGTATATATATGTGTATGTGTTTGTGTTTGTGTGTGCATCTGACCTTCTCTCGTCCACTAGTGTGTTTCCACTCACTCCAGAATATAATGATTCAGATCTTCTGTCTGTCACTCAAACTGGATATTCTGGATTGTGTGTGTGTGTGTGTGTGTGTGTGTGTGTGTGTGTGTGTGTGTGTGTGTGTGTGTGTGTGTGTGTGTGTGTGTGTGTGTGTGTGTGTGTGTGTGTGTGTGTGTGTGTGTTCACTATAGACGTGATCAGGGCTCTGTCCACTTCTCATCTCTGATACAGCTCTCTCTAGTGTGCACTGTAGTGTAGTGTGTTCTATCGTTTAGTTTGTAGTGCAGTGTACTGTAGTTTGGACTATTGTATTTAATGTAACCTATAGTATAGTGTGTAGTCCGGTTTGTAATCTGTAGTGTACATTAATGCAGTGTAGTGTAGTGTAGTATACATATAGTGTACATTATAGGCCATGGTGTAGTTTGTACAGTGTAGTGTGTATTAAAATCTGTAGTGGGCACTATAGTCTGAGGTGTACTGTGGACTGTAGTGAGCACTGTATTCTGTGGTGTAGAATTACTCAGTGAAGGCTAGTGAATCTGGTCTAGTCTGCTTCAGTGTTGTGGATTCAGAGATGAGGCCTGTTCAGCAACTCGAGCACAGTTTGAGAGCATAAGCATACTTCAAGCTCACATGAAGAATCAGTATTCACCGCATCATTTAAAATCTGTGTTTTATGTGTTGACATGATTATATGTTGTTTATTTCTCCAGCGGGTGAGCGAAAATGATTTCTGCTGTAGTGTTCTCGAGTGACGAAGTGTATGTGTGTGTGTGTGTGTGTGTGTGTGTGTGTGTGTTTCAGACTCTGGTGAAGCGTCTCGGCTGACGGCTGCTCAGCTCAGATACAGTGAGTTCATCTCTCCTATCATCATCATCATCATCATCATCATGATCATCATGATTATATCTGAGGTCAATGTGTGTGTGTGTTTCTCTGTCTGCAGTTCTCCTGCACAACGCCATTCCCTTCATCGGCTTCGGCTTCCTGGACAACGCCATCATGATCGCCGCTGTACGTCACATCCACACTAGAACACTACTGAGAGAACACACTAGAACACTACTGAGAGAACACTCTAGAACACTACTGAGAGAACACACTAGAACACTACTGAGAGAACACACTAGAACACTACTGAGAGAACACACTAGAACACTACTGAGAGAACACACTAGAACACTACTGAGAGAACACACTAGAACACTACTGAGAGAACACACTAGAACACTACTGAGAGAACACACTAGAACACTACTGAGAGAACACACTAGAACACTACTGAGAGAACACACTAGAACACTACTGAGAGAACACACTTGAACACTACTGAGAGAACACACTAGAACACTACTGAGAGAACACACTTGAACACTACTGAGAGAACACACTAGAACACTACTGAGAGAACACACTTGAACACTACTGAGAGAACACACTAGAACACTACTGAGAGAACACACTAGAACACTACTGAGAGAACACACTAGAACACTACTGAGAGAACACACTTGAACACTACTGAGAGAACACACTAGAACACTACTGAGAGAACATGGATATACCACACTAGAACACTACTAAGAAAACACTAGAACACTATACTACACTGAAACTATTACTAAGTGAACACTGATATACCACACTAGAACACTACTGAGAAAACACACTAGAACACTATACTACACTGAAAGTACTACTGAGTGGTATACTGGTATACTACATTGTAATTCTACTGAGAGAACACTGATATATTACACTGGAACACTACTTGGTGAACACTGATATACACACACTAGAACACTACTGGGGGTACACTAGTGTACAGCACGCTCCCTCTCTCACATGAGCTTCTACAGTTGGTCTTTTGTCTTATTGTGTTTCTCTTCTGATGATGTGTGTTGTGCTGTTTTTTAAGGGCACTCAGATTGAACTGTCTATCGGATTGACACTAGGAATATCCACTATGGCAGGTACTGGGAAACACACACACACTCACTCTCACATACATTTGCACTCTCACTCTCATGCAGACACTTTCTCTCTCACTCTCACACACACACACACACACACACACACACACACACACACACACGCACACGCACCCAGTAGATCACGCTGATTTCAGTGTTTGTGCTGTTTCAGCTGCGGCTCTGGGGAATCTGGTGTCAGATCTGGCTGGACTCGGGTAAACAACTCTAATACTGTGTGTGTTTGACTGCTCTGTGTGTGTTTGAGTGTGATTAAGTGCTTTCAGTGTGTGTGTGCAAGCAAATAAATGTGTGTGTTCATGTCTGAGTGCTTTGAGTGTGTGTGCAGTTTTGAGTGCTGTGTGTTTGTATTTGTCTGTGTGCTTTGAGTGTATCTGTGCAAGTGAAAGCGTGTGTGTGGGTGTGTGTGTGTGTGCGTGTGTGCACATCTGAGTGAGTGAAGTTGTATATATGTGCATGTGTGTGTATTTGTGTGTGTTTGAGCGTGCATGTGTTTTTTTTGTGTGTGTTTAACCTCGTCTGTGTGTGTGTGCAGTTTAGCAGGTTATGTGGAGGCTCTGGCGGTGCGTTTAGGGATGCAGATTCCTGATTTGAGCCCCAGACAGGTGGACATGTGGCAGACCAGAGTCTCCTCACACATGGTGAGAGTCTCTGGAGTTTAAATGATCATTTATTTGATATTGTCTTGTCAGCAAGTAAATGATTACTGATTTAAATATGAAATGTCGTCATATCAGTCTTATGTTTATTTAAATTAATATTCAATTATTTTAGCTGTCATTGGTTTCAGAAAAATATTTATTAAAATTTGAAAATGTCATTTATTAAATATTAAATGTAAAATTTGGTGCATTTTAATTCTTGTAGAATGCAAATAATATACTGATGTCATAAAAAAATTAATAATCACTTTATCGACTATATTGATTTAAATGTGTGTGTGTGTGTGTGTGTGTGCGCAGGGTAAAGCCATCGGCGTGGCCATCGGGTGTATTCTGGGAATGTTCCCGCTGCTCTTCTTAAGCGATGAGGAAGACAAGAAACCCAAGAAAGACTCAAACTGACCTGCTTTTCACAGGCATGACAGAAACTGCATTTGTTTTGCCAAAGCGTCTGAAGAAAATCATGCAAAAGAACAAACGTGCACACGGTAAACCGCATCACAACGAAAAAATAACATTAAACAGTAGAGAGTAGCAAAAAACCTTAGCGAGTAGTTAAACGTTTAATCTAGCGATGAAGAGTAGATGTGTTATGCGCATGAGTTTGCTTTACGTTCCTCTTATAAACACTATTTTAACGGCCCGATCACACTGAAAATGATAACGTTTTTATAATGCTGAGGATTGACATTTAATTTTTTCAGCTGATGAATGATAAAAGCACTGACAGCCAATCAGAATCGGCGATTAACATTTAAAAAGACGGAACATCTTTAGGCTGTTTACAGCTGGTCACTTTGTGCGTTTATTTCTGATCGAATAGCTATCTGATGGATTATGTGGTCAAGTATACATGGAAACGTAAATTGGCGTAACCTTAAATTAGCATATTACGTGAGATTTGAAGATCTGCCGATATATTCGTTTAGCGGAGACGCATTTATGTGGTCATGTGTAAATGAAAACGTTGATCAACGTTAATCAATGTTACCTAGTAAAATTTGCATATAGCATGCGATTTGAAGATCCTGCACAATATCAGTTTAGCAGAGACGCATATTTACATGGTCAAGTGTAAAGGGAAACCTTAATTGACAAAACCTAGTTGAATTAGCATATTACGTGAGATTTGAAGATATTGGTTTAGCGGAGTCATGTTTATCAGGTCAAGTGTATATGGAAATGTTAATTGACGTAACATAGGTAAATATGCATATAGCATGCGATTTGAAGATCCTTCGCTATATCGGTTTAACAAAAAAGGATTTATGTGGTCAGTTGTAAACGGAAACGTTAATCGACGTAACCTAGTTAAATTAGCATATTGAAGGATTTGAAGATCCGGCACTATGTTGCTTTAGTGGAGATATATTTGTGGTTGAGTGTAAATGGACACATTATTTGAGGATAATCGACATAACCTAATTAAATTTGCGTATAGGGCAGGATTAGAAGATTTCTTACTATATCGGTTTAGCTGAGACTCAATAAAGACACATGAGTCTCTTAAAGAGTAGAGACACATTTATGTGGTCAAGCATGAACTGAAACATAATTCACGTAACATGATTAAATACGCATATAGCACGCGATTTGAAGATCCTGCTCTATATCGGTTTAATGAAGAAGGATTTAAGTGGTCAAGTGTAAATGGAAACGTTAATCGACATAACCTGGTTAAATTAGCATATTACATGAGATTTGACAATTAGACACTGTATTGGTTTTGCGGGGACGCGTTTATGTGGTTGAGTGTAAATGGAAAGTTAATCGACGTTAAGTGACGTAACCTAGTTAAATTTGCATTTAAGTTGCGATTTGATGATCCTGCACTTTACCGATTTAGTGGAGATGCATTTATGCGGTAAATGGAAACATCAAATGACGTAAATAACGTTGCCTGGTTAAATTTCCATATGAAAACGTTAATTGGCGTCAACCGATGTATCCTAGTTAAATTCGCATATAGCACGCAATTTGAATATGTGATATCGGTTTAACAGAGATACATTTATGTGGTCAAGTGTAAATAGAAAACGTTAATCGACGTAACCTAGTGAAATTTGCATAATATGTGCGATTTGAAGATTCTGCGCAATATTGGTTTAGCGGAGACGCATTTATGTGGTTGAGAGAAAATGGAAACATCAAATGAAGCTAATCGATGTTACCTAAATTTGCGTAATATGCAGGATTTGAATGAATTATGTCCATTTAACAGAGACGCATTTATGTGGTCAAGTGTAAATGAAAGAATGAACGCATGAAGTGAGCATCTGTAAAATCTTAATAATGCGCATCCGCTAGTGTACACGCACATGTAGTCAGCATTGTAGTGCTCATTATTGATGTGAACGGGCCCCTTTTTGACTTTATAGTTTGATCTCTCTTGTATTTATATTGATTCTTGCTCTTTAGTTCGAGCAGCATGTTTTTCTGTAGACTTAGTGAAGGTTATGAAGTATTATTTTCATATCATCTGCTCAACTTAACGAACATGCTAACATCTTTGAGCTGTTTTTAGTGTCAGTAATGTTGGACTGTAACTGGAATGGCTGTAGTTATATTGTGAACAGAACAAGCGGTCTCTTTCTCCATGTGTGGATGGACACCATCTCCCATGATGCACCTGTCCTGATAAACCTGCAGGTGTAGACGGAGGTACGGCTGCAGAAATGTGTCGAACACAAGCAGAACAAATGCCATAGCGTTAGCTCCGATTGATTGTTTTCTGACAGTCGTATTGGATGATGGAGTTGTATATAAATATTAATAGCTCACACTTATTTTACTTGACATGGAAGTAGTATTTATTTATATTTAGTTGAAGTATTGATTGAACTAAAACTTTACGATAACTAAAATGAATTTATTTCAACTATTGACAGCATTTCACGTTGTTTTTAAGCACTAAGTTGTTTTAAGTTCATCATTTGAGTTCACTTTATTCAAATATATTAAGTAAAAATAAAATGACGTTTATTAAAAAAACAATATTAGTATTTCAAGAAAATATTGGACAAAAATGACATTTTATACATTTTCATAAATCATATTTATTTTTTGCAAATATACTCTTCAATGCACAACAAAAACATGATTTATGAAAATACGTAGAAACAGTTTTTGCTAATAAATTTGTGTATTAATATTGTTGTTATTAAAAATGTTTCCTGCATTTCTCATTAACAAAAACTAAACACTAAACTATAACCTATTTCCGTTTAATATCTTGCCAATGTTTTGTTTATTTAAAGTACTAAAGCAAGAATAAAACGCTTATTTTTGTTTCAGCAAGATCCCAGAATTTTGTTTTATTTTGCGTTTGTCACATAATTAAAAGTAAATAAACTAAAAAAATGTCTTTTTTAATTTTAGCTAATTGCTCAAATTTCTCATTTGAATAAATTTAACGTAATATAACAATTTATTAAAATAAATACAATGAGAAATCTTTGCAGCTGGCTGAATCGTCTTAAGCTTTTTGTTTTTTATTTGCGATATCAGACAACATTACTAATTTACATTCAGTAAAAGTACTCAAATTAATAATAAATCAATCAATAAATCAGTACAATTAAAAATAAATCAAGACATTCGAATAAAGCAACAACAACATAATCAAACATTTAATCACAACTAAATTAAAAACAAGATCTAATTGGAAACATCAGAGCTTGTAAAAGACGAGTTGGCTGTTTATTAATGTTAATATATATTCATATACAGATGATCATCTCTCATGCTGATTTGCTGATATCTGACAGAAATACCTCTGGGTTCATCTTTATGTTTGTTGTGTAATGATTAGCTAACTTATGGGGAATATATATACATATATATATAAACAAATACGCCCAAGAAATGCAGTACTTATTTAGCATATCATTATTAGACACTATGCATTCAAATATTCGTGTATATAATTCTTGCACAGCCGTCTCTGGTGGTCTACTGCAGCTGGAAATATTTTACAGTATTTTGCAAATTATTTTTGTGAAACTACATGGAATATTTGTACTTTTTATACCATCATTTGTCACTCCACAGAAGTGAAAACTCTTCAAGCACATGACTCTGAGTATGGTTTAACTGTGTAAATGTTCTGAATGTACGTTTATTTGGTGAACATGAAGCTCTAAATGTTATTCTGGTTGCCTTTTGTTTTATTTGTAACTCACATTGATTTGGTTTCGGTTATTGGCAGCAGGTTCTCTTTATATTGAGTGCTGTTTAAATTAATTATAGGTGACACTTTAGTATAATGACAACATGAACTAACAACAAACAGCTGTATTTTTAATTAACACAGAGTAATAAACACTGCAACCTATGCATTTCTCATTGTTTGTTACTGCAGTAAAGTATTACCTATTATGAATGCAACACACACACACACACACACACACACACACACTGCAGATGATCTTAATAAAACGCCTTTATTGACAGTATAAAAACACTGCATTATTATGATTATATACAGTCTAGGTGTGTTCAGTCTCTAATTCTGAACTCTGACGGACAAATCAAACACAACAGATGCTAATGGGCGAGTTAAGGCGGGTTAACCAAACTTTGCATGTTTGTGTGCATAAATAAACACATCGATCAGCTAAACACCTCTGGAACGCACACAGAACATCTCGGTTTTCTTTTTTAACGAGTGCTTCCAGAATATTTTCAGTACTGCTACATATGTGGATCATTAGTGGACAAATGAACACTGATCTCCGCTGATATATCTACATTCTTAAAAATAAAGGTTCTCTATTGGCATTGTTGAAGAATCTTTCAGATCCGGAGGAGAAAAACACACGTTTTTTGATTGATTATTTACATATTTGGCTGCATCTCACGTGACTAGAATTCTTCTTTTTGTTAATTTAAATAGAAAAACACATTAACTGAATGACCTGTTAGATTTTAAAAATATCCGACTGAAGGCCCTGATGGAGAAAGATCATGTACATGACAGAATAAGTAGACGTGGCTTGTTATTTGAAGTGTAGAAATACTTTCTGGTTTATTATCTCTGGTTAATTTCGGGTTTTGTGTCAAGCCTCGTGCACACCAGGATGTGGATCTCTCTTGCTTATCGCCAGTACTTTTCTAGACATTTTTTTGCCAAATCAGTTTCCACTGTTAATGAAAAACAGAAATACTCCAGTACACAAGGTGGCGCTGCGCAACTTTACTGTTCAGACACTCGCTTGCTGCGCAGAAGTCGTCACTCTCAGAACTTCTCCTTGCGTATTTATAGCATACATTTTTCCTCTTCTGTTTATCCTCCTCAACTACAGCACACAAACACGTGCACTAAAGTTGGCGGTAAAATGTTAAAGCGGTAAAAGTAAGTGATAAAACATCATGAAAGAAAATGACATGATGTAAATCCTCTTTAATCAGCTCGGCTAGAGTGTTTTTTGCTTAAACGCCACCAAGTGTTTTTATACTGTACCTTCAACAGCTCAATGCACGACAAAAGCAGCAATCTCATTGGTCCACCAGTTTTTAACGCAGCGCATCAAACTTATAATAAAAATGAGGCAGAAACATATTTACATATTAAATGTCACTTTACGTTTGTCTTGCGCATCAGTGTGCACGCACACATCAGCATCAGTTAAGTCACGATCTGCCAAACATGCCATAATCCTCGGTGTGCACGAGTTGATGGTGCAAAACTCCCTGCACAGATTTCCATCATGTTCCAGCTGGTAAACCACGATCGCCACACAGGTTTAAAAGTGCTTCTAATACTGACAAAAGACAAGGAACCTGATGTTACATGCAGAAATTCACTAATCTGACCACACCCTAAATGTGGTTCTTTTATCAGGTTGATTGTTTGGCCAACCAATAAAGGTTCTTCTATGGCAGAGTTGTTCAAACTTGTTCCTGGAAAACCACTGTGACCTGGAGAGATTAGCTCTCACCCTAATTAAACACAGCAAGACGAGGGCTTCAGATTCACTAAAGGGTCCTGGTATACTTCAGACAAATCTATTTAAATGCCAGTGTGTGAGCCTCTGCGAGTCTTTAAATCTCTCCTGCGAGAGATCGTACAGGTGCAGATATATCCGCACCAGCTCTGCTACTCCACCCTCCAGTGTGTTCAAGCTTGCTGTGTTTGATTTTGTTCTGCTGTCTGACCTCTGTAGATATGAGATACAAATTAATCGCAAGTCAAAGAAGTTTACAACCACTAACTGTGTAATCATCACAGACCAATGGGAGCTCTATAGTTTTAGGAGCCAAAATGAACTCCCCCAGACTCAAACTGAACTTCGTTTTGGCCAGATTTTGTTGGAATGAGGTCAATTCAAGACATTCTGCTTTTCTGTTTGAAGTAGACCATGGTATTAATGCTGGGTTGGCCACACTTTGTTCTGACGGGCCGTCTCCTGCAGAGTTTACCTCCAACCCCAACTAGACACACTTGAACCAGCTAATTAAGATCTTAATAGTCATACTTGAAGCTTTCAGATAGATGTGTTTAGGTTAGATGCAGGACCGTGGCATTTCCAGGACAATTTGGAACCCCTTGAGCTAGACCACAGGTGTCAAACTCAGTTCCTGGAGGGCCGCAGCTCTGCACAGTTTAGTACCAACCCTGATTAAATACACCTGATCAAACTAATTGAGTCCTTCAGGCTTGTTTGAAACCTACAGGTAAGTGTGTTGGAGCAGGGTTGGAACTAAACTGTGCAGGGCTTCGGCCCTCCAGGAATTGAGTTTGACACCCCTGAGCTAGTCTATACTGGAATCTCCAGAGAGGTGTTTCTAGAGCTGGGGTACCCAAATTCAGTTCTGGGGGGCCCGTGTCCTGCAGAGTTTACCTCCAACCCCACTAAGAAACTCCTGAACCAGCTAATCAAGCAGTTACTGGGAACACTAGAAACCTCCAGAGAGGTGTGTTGAGGAAAGTTTTAGATAAACTATGGGGACAGCGGCCCTCCAGCACTGAGTTTGGGCACCCTTGAACAAGACCAAACTGGAATCTTCCCGGCAGGTGTGTTGATGGTAGTTGGAGCTAAAGTCTCCAGGACATCAACCCTTCAGGTCTGGGTTTGGCACCTCTGCTCTTTAAGCTGGTTCGAGCAAACTCTGCAGAACAGTCATGGTGGATCCCGTTAAACACTACTCTACTAGAAGGTGATTTTTCTATCTAGGGTCCCCCTTGATTAGCTTAAGTTCTGCTCACGGTGTGCAATTTCAGACATGATTTGGTTGTACAAATTAGGCAAATCCTGAAAGCTTGCTGTAATTCTAGGCTAAGATCTGTGCTCTCTGATCATTGGCTTGACATGTTCACCTACAGCCTCTTGATGGTCGTTGCCATCAGATTTTCCCTCTGAAGGAGTTCAGGCAGATTCAGAAGATTTTAGATCTATCGTTTAGGATTGTTAAAAACTGCACAGCGTGAGCCGGATTTAAGTGCCCAAAAAGTCACTGCCCCCCTATTAAAAGCAAGATCAGACACCCTGTTCTGTCAGTGCTTTATAAGCCCGTGGAACCTTTACTTTTAAGAGTGCATTTCCTCTTCCTGTAACGAATAGTCGTCCTGCTCCACCTTCACTTGTCCGGCTCCGTCTGCATCCTCCTGCTGGCCACCAGACTCTGCACTGGTCTCGGGCGTCCGCTGGCAGCGTGCCTGATGCTTGAGGAAACTGTCCCTCCAGACGATCTTCTTTCCGCAGACGCTGCACTCGTACGGCCGCAGGCCTCCGTGTGTCTTGACGTGTTTAGTCAGGTGGTGCTTCATCTTGAAGCTCTTGGAGCAGACGGGGCAGCTGAACGGTCGCAGGTTCAGATGCTGCATTTTGACGTGGCGGTCGCGCATGCTCTTCAGCGTGTACGCTTTGCCGCAGTGACAGAAGTGGACTTTAGGCGTTGCAGAGAGAGGAGAGCACGGGGAGGACGAGGACGACTGCGAGACCCAGGACAGCTCGGACGGCAGCAGGGGGCGCTGTGAAATCTGCCCCGTTGCCTTCTCAATTTCATCATAGGTCTCGAAGGAGAGATCCGTTTTGTCGTCCTCGTCCAGCACTTTGTCATCTAGCGGCCATTCGGTGACGCTCTGCCACAGTCCATCTGTCTCCTGCAGCGACTCCCTGCTCTCGCTTTCTCTGAGGCTGCCGTCCGGCTCGGCGACTCCTGAGAGAACACAAGAGCAGACAACAACAGTCAGAAACACCTCAGTGCTGCGCCGGCCATGTTTCCCCGGTGGACGGCAGCTAAACGGCAGTGATGAAGAAGCTCCACTCACCGGCCTGGTGCTCCTCATTCTTCACCCTCACTCTGTCCTCCTGCGAGGGTTCTCCCACTCCTTCATCCGCCTCCATCCTCCGCTGCTCCTCCTCTTCTTTTGCTCCGCGTAGGCGAACTCTTATTCGGTGCCTCGCGGCGAAATCTAACTCTGGCGGGCTGACGAGTGACGGCAGAGGCGCAGCGCTGCATCCATGAACGCCTGCTGCATTTGAGCCGCATTCGGAATCCGGCCGCAGGGGGAACGTCAGGGTGCTTCGACTCCACCGGTTCTGCTGAGGACGCCTCCATGTGGCCAGCGGTGGCAGTGCGCTGTGTGGTCTTTTCTCCAGAGTTTGTTCGGTCGTTGCGTCCTCTGGATCGGCGAAGCAGCAGTCTGAGCTACTGGGCGACTGGTGACTAGACGAGGTGGCGCCGCCGGGGCTGATCTGCGCTAGGGGTCGCGACCTCTTGAGGATATCCGTGCACTTGTCTACGATGTGCCACATCTGCAGGAAGCTGGCCACAGTGACATAGTTGATGATGTCGTCACGCACTATGCTGAGCTGGCCGGTGTATGCAGAGTTTAAAACACTCTCGAAGGCCAGAGGGTCCATGACGGAGGGCAGAGACACTGTGGTGACGTTCTTAAGCAGAACCTGCCAACAGCAGAACCGCAGTGTCAAGAACTAATCCAGATCAAGCTACGATGCTTCTACTTTGCTTTTACTCTGGTAATGCATGCTATTGAGTTTATTCTGCAATGCGGAAGTGCGCGTGTTTTAGAACTTTCGATTCAATCGCCTGTTGAAGAAATTAATATGAATAATATACAGCTGAAAACGGTCAAACTACTCGCTCTACAAACAAGTGCGTTCATGACTATGAGACAATATATCAATTTGCAACATCAAGCAGCTGTTTTTAACATCTTAATATATGTTAATATTTTAATGATTATACTAAAACGAACAGGTAGTAGATATTTTTTGGAAAACTATGATTGGTTGTTGTAATTTTCCTCTCTCGACTCAACTAGCCAATGGCAGAACATCATCTGTGGGGGCGGGGTTAAAGATAGTATGGCCGTCTCTTATTGATTAAATCTGGAAAACACAATATAATTCATCACACATTTCTGCGATATGACTGTTGCATTGACTATTATTGCGATAACGATGAGTTTTCCATATATTGCGCAGCTCCACTGCACTAGTATGCCACGCTTACTATGTTTTACAGCACATTTCTGAGTTAGATATAATATAGTTATTCATACACTCATGCAGTTTTTAACTTAACATTTAATCAAACACCTGCTGCGCTTCTGTTTTTACACGATGAGCTTAATCACGCAGTGAGGGTGGATAGTCATGCTACATTCCCTCATAAGATCAGTTTGTAAATAACAAACGTTAGCATTGTATTTCCTCTTTATTTCCCACTCTGTGCACTGCGAGCTGTTCAGCAACAGACAACCAATCAAACTGCTTCATTGTGTGCCTCATTAACATATTTGTGCAGCCGCAAAAACTCCCGCATAAACGTATAGTACTTTTGAAACGCACTATAGTAAAGTGTATTATACTGTATATATTAAAATATCTACAACTCTTTGGTAATGAATGCTCTGATATACTGTAGAGTAACTGCAGTGAACTGATGGACTTTAATAGATACTGTAGTATACTTTAGTTTTTACTGCAGTAAACCGCGGTGTATTGTAGTATAATATACCCTATAGTACAGTATTGACTGTTACCATAGTAACTAGAATCACCACAGCAGATTAATTACTATAGTTGTTGTGTTACCATAGCAACTGTAGAATCACAACAACAGATTAAATACTATAGTTGTGTTACCATAGCAACTGTAGAATCACAACAACAGATTAAATACTATAGTTGTTGTGTTACCATAGCAACTGTAGAATCACAACAACAGATTAAATACTATAGTTGTTGTGTTACCATAGCAACTGTAGAATCACTACAACAGATTAAATACTATAGTTGCGGTGTTACCATGGCAACTGCAGAATCACAACAGTTTTAGTTACTATAGTTGTTGTTACCATAGTAACTGTAGAATCATCACAATGGATTGAATCAAGTGCTTTACTATAGTATGGGTCAAAACACTGGCGTTTACTATATATTATTTTTTCATGTGGGTTGTTAATACTTTTTTTTAATGACCAATTTTAAAGGTGTAGTTCACCCAAAAAATGTAATTTACTCACTATTTAATGACCCACGAGTAGTTCAAAAGCTTTACAAGTTTATATTTTTAAGTAAGATGTTGTATATATTGTATTATACACACCGACTTCCACAGTAGGAAAAACAAATTCTATGACAGTCAAATGGTTGCAGGTGTCCAACATTTTTCTAAATATCTTCTTTTGTGTTCATGGAGTAAACTATCCCTTTAAGAAGTATTTTAATATCTAAATTAAACCACAGTAGTCATTTGTAGAAGCAGGCACCGTAGCATCTTTGGCTGTCAATCAAACTTGGGTCATTAATATGCAGATGAGCGTGCTTGTGAATATGCAGATGAGTGGAGAATCACCTGGTCATGGAAGTAAGGTGAGGAGGCGGCCAGGACACAGCGGTGTGCCCGGAACACCTGTCCCTGCACCTGGATGGACAGGTCGCACAGCTGGCCCTCCTCCCGCTGCCGGTTCAGGTTCTCCAGCACGGAGGCGCGGGCGCTTGGGAAACACACCTGCAGAACCGGGCCAGGCGGAGCGCTGGAGCGGCCGAACATCTGCTCCATCCTGCGGGCACAGAACACACAGAGACCTGCTGATCTCACCGGCTGCAGAATCTGAGGTAAAGTTGAGTTTATAGTCAGACAGTGGTGGAAAGAGGACTGATAATCACACTCCGCTAAAATAACATTACTAAGCCCACCCAAACATGTGTCTGTTGCACATATGTAAAGTATGAGTAAGAGTAGCCCTCCTAAAATACTCAAGAGCATTGCGCTGTGAAAGGCTGATGCATTTACATGCTGTGTGTGTGTGTGTGTGTGTGTGTGTGTGTGTGTGTGTGTGTGTTCTCTGTAGTGCATTCAGTGATTGTGTATGGCCATGTGCAGATTTCAGTCATCATTCAGTGGGCATCACACTTCTATATCCCCTAGATCTGGGCTGCCCAAACCTTTTTCTTATAAAGGGCCAAACACCAGACCTGATTGAGGGATGTGGGCCAAATATAGACCAAACCCAATACATCACATCGTAGAACATTACATTTGCATGGGTAATTTCCTCATTTATTCACTAATATTAAAAAATAACATGAAAACATTGCTTTAAACCATATTAACTAATGCAGTCTCATTTAAAACATTTTACAACGAACTTATTCCAGCAAAATCAGGATCTCATTTACACCACAGTGGAGTTCAGTGCTGAAACACTAGACTCGCTGAGGTCCTATGCATTGCTTTTTGTCAAGAGACATTTTTTACATTTTAAAAGTCTGATTCATTTACAACATTTAACTAGATTCTTAAAGTTTGAGAACAAACTTTGAGGCTGGCTTGTGAAAGCCTGACGGTAATAGTTTATTTAAACAGTTTTAAAAAGTATGATAGATAGATAGATAGATAGATAGATAGATAGATAGATAGATAGATAGATAGATAGATAGATAGATAGATAGATAGATAGATAGATAGATAGATGTTGTTAGCATGATTCTAGCATGAATTAGCATAATGTTAGCATGATTCTAGCATGAATTAGCATGTTGTTAGCATGATTGTAGCATGAATTAGCATGTTGTTAGCATGATTTTAGCATGATTTAGCATGTTGTTAGCATGATTCTAGCATGATTTAGCATGTTGTTAGCACGATTCTAGCATGAATTAGCATGTTACTAGCATGATTCTAGCATGAATTAGCATGTTGTTAGCATGATTCTAGCATGAATTAGCATGTTACTAGCATGATTCTAGTAGGAATTAGCATGTTACTAGCACGATTCTAGCATGAATTAGCATGTTACTAGCATGATTCTAGCATGAATTAGCATGTACCTAGCATGATTTTAACATGAATTAGCATGTTACTAGCATGATTTTAGCATGAATTAGCACGATTCTAGCATGAATTAGCATGTTGTTAGCATGATTCTAGCATGAATTAGCATGTTACTAGCATGATTCTAGCATGAATTATCATGTTGTTAGCATGATTCTAGCATGAATTAGTATGTTACTAGCATGATTCTAGCATGAATTAGCATGTTGTTAGCTTGATTCTAGCATGAATTAGCATGTTACTAGCATGATTCTAGCATGAATTAGCATGTTACTAGCACGATTCTAGCATGAATTAGCATGTTACTAGCATGATTCTAGCATGAATTATCATGTTGTTAGCATGATTCTAGCATGAATTAGTATGTTACTAGCATGATTCTAGCATGAATTAGCATGTTACTAGCATGATTCTAGCATGAATTAGCATGTTGTTAGCACGATTCTAGCATGAATTAGCATTTGACTAGCATGATTCTAGCATGAATTAGCATGTGACTAGCATGATTTTAGCATGAATTAGCATGTTGTTAGCATGATTCTAGGATGAATTAGCATGTTACTAGCATGATTCTAGCATGAATTAGCATGTTGTTAGCATGATTCTAAGATGAATTAGCATGCTACTAGCATGATTCTAGCACAAATTAGCATGTTGTTAGCATGATTCTAACATGAATTACCATGTTACTAGCATGATTCTAGCATGAATTAGCATGTTGTTAGCATGATTCTAGCATGAATTAGCATGTGACTAGCATGAT